TTCTTGCATTTGTGCGCGCACATTTTTTGCTGCACGGAAGCGGAAGTGTATCCTGGCTGCCACAAGAAGATGGTCCGACGTGATGTTTGACTCTAGGAGTGTACGTACGTCTAAAACACTGGAAGCGTGTCCTCCGTCTATCACAATATGATAGATTTGGTTTCTCGTTTCTCGATCTTGAGACAGCTATGTATCTTGATGGATCTTTTGATGCTGGAACCTAGTACTACATATTTTCATGTTTCTGCCTCCGGCGAAGTGGATCAGCCTCAGTCGGTAGGCTGCAGTTTCCGACGGTGGTTCTAATTATCTACCCATCCTAGCATTGAAATTTCCAAAACCAACACGGAGGCAGCACTCGCTTGTGCTATCCAAGCGCTCATAAAAGATATTCTTGGATGATTAGTCCTTCTTCTCCATCAGGGCGTGGGCGCAAATGAACGAGATGTTGAAAAACCTCGTCCACCGGTGCGAGCGGCAGTGCGCAACAACGGAGTCTCTCTTGCTTCACAAATCCAAAACTTTTGTCCTTACGAGGACATCAACCAGCCGGACAGAGGCACCTGGGTCCGTACATTCCAGATTTATGCTTTTCATTGTTTGCCGTGTTCGTCATCCAAGGCTTTGTTCTTACATTACAATGGAAACAATGGAAGGGTTTTTTACGTGGCGGATCCTAAACTCATCGCACATTCCATTGCTGGGAGGGGTTGGTTTTTCAAGCGATTATACATTTATATAGCGAACCGCTTACCTCAAGACAAACGTCCGCTTGCAACTACATCTACTGGTGAACAGACGCTGCAGACTTCAGTGAGCCCTTAAACCGAATAATTCGGAGTGGCCCCACCGAAGCTCCATCTCTATCTGTAGTGGCGCAAGGCTCCACTCCGACTGGTTACCGCATCTCGCACATGGATTGCTCACGTTGGTCAGAATGCGCGACCAAGGATGCACGTATCGGGATAGAATGTAGCCGTGAAGCTGTAACTGCATACCCAGAACAACGACTATACTCCATGTAAGACACATAAAAATCTTAAATTTCAACTACCACTACAACTACTTTCGCTTTAAACATTTTCCAACTATCGATTTTCACATTTTTATCCCTCAACCACATTTTTTGTGACAGCTTCTTGTTCATTAATTTAAATGTAAATCTCTAACCTTGACTTTCAACTGCAAGCGCATGTTTTTTACGCTCACAAATGTGCTCCCTTCTATTGTTGGTTAGCTAAAACTTTTCCATTGCTCACAGCACATTTTTACCCCAGTTTTTCTAGCAATTTCTCACTTTGAAGACCTTCACAATTTCATTATCAAGGACGCAATCAAAAGCGGGAGCAAAATGTTAGCATGTAAAAAAAAAACAAATCCTTTATATACGCGTATAGCAATTTAATCACTAACTAACCTTGAGCGCTAATCGACACTGCTAAAGCACACCCAGTGCTAAGAAGAAAGGTCTCTTCTCGCCGCTCTACTCTTCTCAGATCTCCACCCACATATCCATAAGCTGGCTTGCCAACAGCTCCATTATTCTGCTCGACAAGCATATCGCTTTGCTTTCGCAGAAGGGAGCGACATTTTGACACTAAGAGCTTGCAATTGCATTCCATTACATTTCCGCTTCCGCCAACTGTCACACTTGTAATCGCAGTTGGTGCTGTACTTAGTAAGTATGTATTAGCGACCTTGTAGTATGGCGAGCACTTGGCAACAAGCAATGGAATTTTCTGCAAGCTTGCAACAAGCAATGTGTTTGAAATCTGGTTGTAGGGAAGAAAAGAAAAATAGCTATGTTGCAACAATTGGACAGCGTGAGCTGCATGTTCTTTAGATATGCGTGGCGTTAGGAGTGTGAAGTCATTAAAAGGGAACTAATGTAACACTCTTTGCAGATTTTCAAGGTCGCTTTAGCGGGTGCAGCTGCGATAGTCTCATGTGTGCTTTTGAAGTGTGTAGATATTTGTTTTTCAAGGTTACCAATACTCGTGATATCATAGCCAGGAGCTTGCGCAAGTAAATTTCCAGCCACGTTGGAAATTTTCCGTTCAAGTTGAAGGCGAACGACGATGCCGGCAAGAAGTAGCCGGCAGTAAGTAGCGTCATAATAAGTACATGTTTAAATTTAAGTTGGAAAAATCGCATGCAAAAGGCTGTCAAATAATGAAACTAAATACCAAAGAAGTAAGATTGGCAAAGTTACCAAAGAAGTAGGATAAGTAAGATTGCCAAAATAGGCAAAGTTTACCCACAACTCGCCTGAAAGTAATAGGAACCAAATATATCCCTTCACGAGGGCTTAAATACCGTAAACATCAAGAGACTCAGCAGTAATCTTACAGGTGCCCCCCCCCCACATTTGCACCTTTCATTCTATCTATTTGTAACCCGGGAGATAATTTTGGAATCCCAAATTAGACTGTCCAGTAGCCAGTTTCTGTAACTCTTCTCTACCGATTATTTCTCTACTGGTAGAGAATATACGTCATTCTCTAATAGTCATTAGCAGTAGAGAACAAGGCGGCGAATTCATATCTCAATTCGCTTTGGTAGAGAATTGTTACAGAAACGAGCTACAGATCTCTTCATTACTACTACTACTACTACTTAGCAGCATTCGTCGACATAGCAGAGTCTTTTAAAAACATATACCCGAGCGCACACTATCTCAGACATGACAGACCCAGGTTTAATTCATACGCCAACTATTCGCCCGCAGTATGGTGAGTTCAGAACTAAGTAGGGGTCTTGTGACAGATTAGCATTCGACCACTCAAACTGAAGTGTATAGATACTAGCGGCGTGTAAAATGGTATTATCCTCAAAAAGAACCGGGACAAGCATCGCTAGGCAGCGATTAAGGCACTTACAAATACAAACCCCAAACAGTGTCTGAATTGGCGTTGAATCCCCCATCTATTAAATATTTACTACTAAGTGCGTAGTGTTTCTTTCGATCTGCCCCAGGATCTGGTTGTACATAATTCTTCTAAATTGCCAAGTGTTTTTTAGCACCCCGCCGGGACCTAAATAGGTTCCATGAAGGACTGACGCCTTATCAATTCACTGCTATTATCTCATTGAGTAAGAGTGAAAAGACAAAAGAAAAAAGTATCAAATATTGATTCCGCCGGAGCATTAAGAAGCTTCAAATTTTGTTAGTATTAAGCTTGTAATAACTGAGCACTGGTTAGCGCTCATTCAAGTCTCTTACATATGAATAAGCATTACAATCCGTGCATACCATTCTACCTACCGAGCTATCTCCCTCATTCCCTAGCATGCTTTCGAATTTCGATTTTTTTTTGGTATGCAATATTTCTAAGAGCGATGCTCTATTTTCGTTGAATTGAGAAAAGGGGAATAATTCGAAATTCGAACTTCGAAACCTAAGCCAAACCCAAAGCAAGACTCGCACAAGCACAGCTAGTGAAAAAGCCAAGTGGGGTAGGTTTTCGCCTGCCAAATATTGAGCAACTCGAGGAGAGCGCTTCAACGCTGAAAAGTAGGCACTCAAAAATTAAAAACGGGCTATGCTCTGCAAACTTCTCTGCACGCTCTCACTATAACGATTACTTGCAGCGCGCTCTCTAGCTAATACAATATGCTTTCACTATGAGAATGGAGCGTAGAGGTGCTAAAGCGCGTTTTCAGGTTTCCTGCCAAAGGAGTACTACTTCGTGGTTGAGGTGGTGGTTTAGTTGTAGTGCATTACAGTGATATTAGCATGCATTAGTGTGCTTACGTGTGTGTGTGTGTGCCTTCGTGTGGTTTGGTGGTTTATGGTGTTTGCACCACCTCTTTTCCACACAATTGCCGTAGAGGGTGACTTTTGTATGCTCTGCGCTCGGACTTAAATGACTGCCTCACTGACTGACTAACTGGCTGGCTGGTTAACTACTGTTGCGCGCTTGCTTGCCTTCCTGCTTGCTGTTAGCTTACACTACGCTTCTTTCGATGCATGCATTTGGTATTGTATTGTGCTGCGTTCTGTTGTGACTGCTGACTGCTGGCTGCTGCCTTGGCATGCCGTGAAAACGACGAATGACAACTTTTATAAAAGTCACTGCTGCAAGGATAATGCAGTCAGTCTATGCAAAGCTATTGCGACGTTAGCACACAACCTTGTGCCGCGGCAGGAACTAAAATTCGTCTAGTGGTACTCAAAGCGAAAGCAAAAAATTCACTTGAACTTGCGTAAATAAAGTCACGTGACTGTGAAAAATTTCTAAGTGTTTTGGCGCGAAAATATTGAAGGCGTTGAAAATTGGGAATTTTTGAAGAAAATAATTTTAAAAGAAAAAGACTGGATGGCAATTGCGCCTGGCGAATTTAAAAGAAAAAATAAGAATTTTTGGAAAACTTTTATACAAATTTTAAAAACATTGAACTCCAAAAATATTGAGATATTTTATAATGTAAATTTATGACATTGTGTGGAAAATGCATAAATAAATATTTTTGAGCGCCTTAGTAAAAGTCACAAAAAGAGGAGAAACTAGAGACTTATAAATAATAAAAAAAATTTATTACAAAAAGAAACTGAGTTAAAAAAATATGAAAAATTTGGGAACTTTAGTGAAATAAAATATATAAAAAAACTTGGAAAACAACAAAACAAACACAAGGTATAAATGTATGTATATCGGCTTAAAAAACTTTAAAATATTATAAAAAACAGATATATTCAAATCGACGAATATGATTTCTGAATAAAAAATACATTTGGGAAAAATATATGTATGAGGTTTTCACTCACACTTACAAGAAACTTTAGAAAACAAGTGGAAAAATTTTTAACTTAAATATTCTTTTTACAAAAAATTCTAATGCTGCAAAAAATTTAACTGCTGAGCGCGTGGATGTGCAAAATATAAATAAATACACTATATAAAATTCCGTCTTTTGGAGCCAAAATAAAAATCCATAAAGATAAACAAAATTAAAATATAATTAAATAAAGTGAAAACAGAAATCCCTTCAACTGCAACATGGCCATCGCTTACTTCATACCCGATCAAACCAAGCTGCTAGCGGCCAGCAGCGCTCATAGCAACCACAACAACGGGAGCAGCGGAGCCGTTGGCGGCGGCGGCGGCGGCGGTGGAGGCGGAAGCGTTGGTGGCAACACTAACACGAGCGCATCACCGACGGCTCAACAACATCCGCAAGCTGCGCACAATTCAAGCAGTGGGCACAACACCAGTCATCACCTTCATAACAGCAGCAACAGCAATAACAACTTTCGCGCCAACATCACCATACCGTTGAGTGCCTATAGCGCCACAGCCGCCAATTCGGACGCTGGTTGTTGGGAGCTGTTGACGCAAATATTCTGCCATGCATTGCGCTTTTGCCATCAATCCGAACGCCATCCGGCGGTAATACAAATATCATTAGAAATCAGCAGCACCGGATCGCTGGGAGCCACCACAGTGCAAGTGGGTGCGCAAGCGGCGCCTGTGCAACAGCAGCAGCAACAAGAGGCGCAAGTGCAGCAGCAGCAACAGCCATCTCAAGCTGCTTCAACGGCGGTGCCACAAAATGCGTCCACACAAACGCTGCAACAAAATGCGACTGCCGCAGGTGTGGAACGGCCGGCGATTAGTGAAGAGACACCCGCGGCGGCGGCAGCGGTGTTTAGTAGAAATCTGGAGCCTGGAACGCACAAGCCGCCGGCGAAAAGAAATTAAGACGAGTGAGTAACTATTCTGAATATTGTCGGCATAGCCTTGCTAGTTACGTACAGCAACAACGCATCGAAGCTCCTCCGCTGAGTTGAAAGGGAGGCAAAAAAAAATCTTGTAAAAGACCATCATTAAGCTCAATCAAAGCGCATTGTGATTCCATGGAAAGTGACGCATACTTTACATACTCATATACAGTTTAAGTTATTTGCAGTAATTTTTGGTAAGAAAAGTTTTATGCTATAAAAAAATACAATTTCTAAAAAATTTGCATCTCAAAAAATATTTGCTATAAAAAGTTGCTACTACTCTAGTAGAATCAAATTTTTGTGACATACATACATGCAATTTTTCTTTATTTTTTTTTTTTAAATCAAGCCAGTTTTTGTTGTAAAGTAAAGCCAGTTGCCTTTTAATGGAGACCAGTTTTTGAAAATTTATTTTCGACATTTTTTAATACCTAATATTAAAACTTTTAAAATACTAAACTAATATTAATTAAATGATAAGCAAATTGTGAGTAACTCGAAGTAACTAAAATAGCGAGGGAGCATTTGAAAATGTTTGCTTTAGAAGGATTTTTATTGAAAAGAAAAAACAAAAAATATTTTTGAACAAAAAAAGTGAAATGAGCGAAAGCAACAGTGTAACGGTTTCGGGTTGTAAAGGTCAGTTAAATATGATGCCAGCAAGTAACAGAAGTTCAAATATTTTTATCCTTTTTTTCTAATCTTTAGTTTCAGTACAGATTATTAGGTTAATAAAAAACTGTTTGTAATACTATGCTAAAAATAAAACTATGTATTTACTGTGTGTATATGTATAAATTTGTGCAAGTTTTTTTTACTGAAAATGTTTTTGAAATATCCTTGCAATTTGTAGAAATTTTGTGTGTGAAGTTTGGACTCCCTAATACGAGTTTTTTTGTTTTTTTTTTTTTTGCACACAAAACCAATTTTTTTTTGGTCTGCAATTTTTACTAGAAATTCTAGGAAGTAAACCCTATCCCTAAAAAACTAGAACTTCTCAAAAATTGTTTAACTTTCATTTATGTGAGATTTCTCATTTCCAAATAACTAAAAAGAAAATCTCAATTAAATTTTTTCCCTTAAAAACAGTTCAGGAATCCCGTTATTTGCGTTAAGTTGGAATCTGTTGAATGGATATTTTAAGGCTAATAATTTCCAAAAATATTTAGAAATTAAAAAAATTAGAGCATTAAAAACAATAAACATTTCTCAAATATTTGTTTTGGTGATGGTTTTTGTTACGTAAAAAAAAAAGGAATTTTGATGGGCGCACAATTTTTTCCAATTTTCGTCGAAATGCAAGTATTGGCGTAGCATTCTCAAAATTTGACAGTAGTCTACTAACAAACAGTAGGCACTGTACAGTTGATTCAAAAACCATTGATTTATTAATTAGCCCTCGTATTTTCAAATGTTTTGTATGTAATTAAAACAATAAAAATATTTTTCGACAAAAACCCGCGGAAAACTTCAGCTACCTACTATTTAAAAAATATAATTTAATTATATTTTTTTTATGTTGGTTATAATCCGGAAAGTTTACTCTTTCATTCTAAAAATTTCGATAGTTTTTCCTTTTTCTATTTTTTATACTTTTTTCTAAAACTGATTAACTGACATTTTCGCACTTTTTGCAAATATCAATATTTTCTTTAGTTTTTCTGCACTACCTATGTGAGAATTATTTTGAGCTAATGTCTTTGCTTTCAGTTATTGTAAAATAAAACTAAAGAAAAATTTAAGTATTAAAAAAAATAATTTATTTCTTAGTTAAAAAAAAAATATAATATATTTAAAACAAATTTTTTAAGTTGAATTAGTTTGAAAAAAAAAATATTTTCAATTATACAAGAAAAAATAATATTTTTTAAATTAAGAAGTTACCTAATTTTACTTAAGTTTTTCTTTGGAATTATTTTACAATATCAGAAAGCAAAATCATCACCTCAAATAATTCGCACTTTGGTATCTAATGCAGAAAAATATATGTAAACTAAAAGATTTATTGGTTTTTGAAAAAAGTGCGAAAAAATCACTTAACTTTTTTTATAAAAATGTATAAAAAATTAAAAGTGTTTTCCACTATCGAAATTTTTTAATTAAAAAAAAAATGAGGATTCAGTATTTCAAAAAACTTTTTTTTGGCTATATCTTAATTTTTTAAACACTCCACTCTAAAGCAATATTAAAATGTTTCTCGCACTTGAACTGCATAGATTTCTTTATCAAATTTAAAACATATAATTAATTTAAATTTTTAAAAAAGAAATACACTTGAAAAAATTTCGAAACCATTTTTCTTAATTTTTTTAACTAAACTTTAATTATTCGCATTTCTGACTAGCAAGTTTACAGTTTCCGGTTAAAAAAATATATTTATTTCAAAACACATAAAAAAAATTGTTTAAAAAAAATTTATGTATAAAAATATATTTTTTTTTCAGTGCTTCAATTAAAAGAAAGGGAAAATTTTCAGTAAATGTTTTTTTTTTAGAATATTCAATATTCAAGTTTGTATTGCAACTGAACTTCATAAATTTATTTATCAAATTAAAATTTTCTATAAAAAAATTATTAACTAAAGTTTTGAATTTTGTTTTCAGTGATTCAAATAAAAAGATTGGTTATTTTAAAATTTTCAGTAAGTGTTTTATTTTAAGAAAACATGAACTTAGTTTGGGATTTTAAAAAACGTTGATAATTTTTTTTTTAGAATTCGTCTTAATTTTTTTGGACGCTCAACCCCAAGGCAATACTGATTTTTTTTTTGTAATTGAACCGCATAAATTTATTTATCAAATTAAAATTTTCTATAAAAAAAATAATTAATTTAACTTTTCAAAAATAAATGCACTTTCTTAAAAAAATTCGAAATCTTTTTTCTTAATTTGCATTTTAACTAAAAATACATTATCCTCAATCATGACTTAGCAAGTTTAAAGTTTCCGGGGAAAAAAATTATATTTATTTCAAAACACAAACAATTTTTTATTTTTTTTTTTAATATTTTACGTCGTTTTTAAATTAAGACTGCTATGCCAATTTTGGTACAGAGAATTGTGGCCGCGTGCAATAAGATTGCAGTCAAAAAATTAATTTAAATCGCGCGCACATCAATAATTCTTAAAAGCTAAATTAGACATAAATAAATAAATAAATAATTCTTTATTCTCATTTTTAAAATATTTTACTATAGTTTTCGAGCTCTTCATAGGCGTCATACATACCTACATACGTATCTATATAAAAAAATGTCCACAAATTTCACACACAAAATTTACGCAGATAAGAATCAATCATACATACTTATGCATATAATTTGTATTCATACTCACATAATAATAACAATTCACTATCAAAAATATTAATCGATTAAACTCCACAACTACTTATAAAAGCTAACTACTACAATCTAATCCACGACTACTTATTATATAAATATACAAGTATACATACAAATATTTATAAATATACATGGCATACATAACACTTATGTACATTTAAGAAGCTCACAATTTTATAAAATACGAGTATTTATTGTCAATATTCAAATACTAAATGTCAAATTCTTCACTAAATTTAGCTACAGTAAACTATGAATAAACCCGACTACGATAATTAAAAACATTATTAGTAATATAACTGAAAATACAATTCAAAAAATACAAAATGGTACAGAAGCGAAACAAAATATACAAAATAATGCAGTGGAACACAAGTAAAAATAATTGTACAAAATATTTTTAAGCTAACCGAAACAGCCGTTCAACTAAATAGTACTCACAAACAAAAGACAAGAAATTAATAATAAAGTATGTAAATAACCAAGAAAGACTTTGTGGTAATTACTGACAAAATAAAACTGGTGTCACAAGCAAGCATACTTTACAAGAAATTTTATAGATAAATAAAATTATGCATAAATAAGTATATTTATCCGGAAAATGCAGAGCTTTTCAAGCAGCCGCCGAGGAAAGCATTAACAAAATTTAAAATCAAATGAATCAGCGAATACATTTAAACACATTTACTTTTAATGTTTATTTGAAAGAATTTGGTTTACATAAAATTTTTGGCAAATATTCTGAGAAAACGGTATTGAAATTATTTTAGCAAAATTCTAAAAAATTAAACAAAATTTTAATTGAACAAAATTTAAAAAATTATTTAGTTATCTAAATATTTGTAAATTTATGTTATGCCAGGAGAATTTTTGTAAAATATTAACATATAAGAGACTAACAAACAATTAATATTTTCATAAATAAAACGTAAAATTTTTATAAGTAAAATATAGTTGTGTTTTTGTTTACTACTACACCGTTTGGATCATCCAAGAGAAACATTTCTATGTTGGAACAATTTCTAACGCAGAAATTCACATTATGTGGCTATGTTTTGAAATTGTGCAATTCGTTTTACGTACTTACGTTTCAGCAGTTTCGCATATTGGTAAGTGTTTGATTCCACATGGTTTCCGATGTTTGGCAATTTGTTAAGTTCTATTAAAATTTAACATGCAGTCTCTGTAATTCAAACAGAAAAATTGATGTACTTTCCTGTATTTAATTAGACTTTCTATAACTTCCTCTAATAAACACAAACATTTCTGAATGTCTCCCCAAAGAAGAAGTAATACAATTCATAAGCATTCAAAAAATTTTAGAATAGTTTCAGGTTAGTTGAATCCAAAGCAAGCCTGAGTCACACTAAAGTCGATGATTAAAACGTAGTTGAAGCTGACATCGATGTATCGTGAATTTAGCCATTTTAAAAAAATGTAAACATCGATGGCAAACATTGAATTTGTAACCGATATTATCAATGTTTCCAAAACATCGAGGCATCGTTTGCATCCCTTTTCAGCAGTCTCGGATATTGGTTACCCTTAATTGCCACCTGAATTTTTTCCCCCCTATTGAAAATTTGGATTAAAAAATTATAATACATGCAAAGTGCTTTAAGGAGACGTACGCT